GCATCCTCCTCTCATTCTGTGATAAGTTGTTTAGTGTGTCTACGTTTCACATCATTCACACAAACCTTGTCCCCCTCCCCTTTATGCAGGACAGTGGGAATGGCTGTGTGACTCGCCCTCCCTGCTCCCGCCGTGCAGCGATGCTGTCAGTTACTACTCTCAGTTTGGACGGGTACCAGGTTTCACCTCCGCAGCGGGACGACGTTTCCGCGGGGTTCTGGATGAGCATCTGAACCTGCTCCGCTGGCCCGAGGGCGTCAAGGCAAGCGTCACATAGGAGAGAATGAATGAGAAGGCCAGGTGGAAAGTGTCTATATAAAGCTAGATTTATAAAGTTCTACTAGGCCCATGTTAGACATCATTCCCCTCTGATCACTACTACTTTTATATTTAGATTCTGGTGATGTATCCTGTATATACAATGCACTAATGACAAAACAGTGACACTGGCAGGAATGAAGTGCGACATAAATGACTTAAACAGAGGTATGACTCTTCAATAACTATTATAACTCTTCTTCAAACAGGCTCCTTTTCACACGTAACGTTTGCCTTATCAGACTAACACAAAAATGATTTCAACAGTTAAATTAAAGAATGCTTTGGTTGGTATTTCTCTCTATTACTCATGATGCTTCCAGGAAGTTATTACAAAGGTTGTAGACCTTCTGAGTCCTCTCCAAGCTTTTATTTCTTCCAGTGACCTTGAGGATTTTGGAGTTAGCAAGTTTCAAATAGTCCGTCTGTAATTTAGGTTTTTCAGGGTTTCTGCGGGTCCTTAAGAAGTCTAAAATCCTATAATCTGAATTTTTGGCCTTAAAGTGTCTTAAGACAGTTGCATTAATTTCAGCCTCACTTTTAAATTGTTTGGGAAAATTTAGATTGATCATGCTGTTCTACAAAAAAACTAAAACAGAACCAGTAACCACTAATACAAACTGAGGTAGGTTAAAAGGGTTTCTTTTAGCATTACTTTCATTTAATATGAGTAAATGCAAGTTCAGTGTTCTTGAGAACAGCATATTTAGTGCTTGGTTGAAGCCTGTTGAAAATGACAAATTTGAAGCCTGCTGCACATTGTGCAAGAAAATTAGGGAATTAGGAAAGGCATTGGAGTTGCATTGGAAGTCAGAAACCTAACCCCTAACCCTTTGCAAGTACTTCTGGGACCTATATATCCTTGGTACACGATATGATAAAACCATCATATTGCGATTACTTTGACAGATATTGCTATTACGATATGATTCATGATTTAGTTTGGGAATCATCATTTTTGCGTCAAATTAAAATCATGATGATGTGAAATTTATTGAACAAGATTGGTAGGCCAGGATGTCTCTGCAGCACTACACATCTTCTTTATAATGCTGTTTCTTCACACATTTTACCTTTATCAAAATACTGCAGCTTTCCGCGATTTGGATAGCCCTATTAAAAAGGTCTTAAAAGTTCCTAAATTTAAGATGTTGAAACCTGGAGAAACCCTGTTTTCATACAGCAGGTACTTTTCCAATTTGAACCTCTGATTGAAGTTGTACATGAAGATCACACACTGACATTCTTTAGAGCTCGCTGTGCAAGACAAACCACATTCATCTATCTGCCTCACCTACAAATTCTCTATTGACACATATCAGAGGTTTACAAGTTCTCCTCCAGATGAACTTTTAGAGTGGACTCAATTTCAGGTGCAGCTTGTAGACGCCTAATTTGTAGCTCAAGCAGATGTTTTTCTCTCATTAAAAACAAAATGATATGGAATATTCTGAAGATTTCAGTCTTTCAGTCATGCAGACTCTACTGTATGTTCAGGTCAGGCTTGTGAAAAAAGTTGTGAAAGCTTCTGAATAAAAATAAAGATTTCCTGAAATTGTTGCAACCTATCCAGCCTACTTGATCCCTGCTGATGTGTTACTGACTGCTCCCTGACTGTGTTCCCTGCAGGGAGACAGAGAGCTGGCTGTTAAAGGAGAGAATGGCCAACTGTACTACTGGATCCTGCCCTCCTTCTTCCAGCTGCTCAAAGACCTGGAGCAGGAAGGAAGGGAGTTCGCCATCCTCTTTCGCACGTTTGGAAACGACCTACCTCGTGTGCTGAGGGCTGTGTACAGAGCACTGAATGAAGGGGCTCATCCACTGTTCCCTGATCTGCCTGATCTCAAGGTGAAGCACAGTCACGCTTATTCATTAAGTTCAGTTAATGTGAGACATTCCCATCACTGTCTGTGGATTACAATATTTATTCTTTTAGGTTAAAGGGTCTGTTCACCCAAATTATTACACATTATATATACCTTTTTATCTTTAGTGCTAGCAAGCAAAGCTGATAGTCTGGGGTTATTTCAGATGGGTTAGGTAATGTCTCATTTACTTATATAGCCCAGTTACACACACTGTCTGAGTTTACAGCAACACCTCCAAACACATACGTAAGTCATGCATTTTTTATTTAACTCAAATACAAGCAAAAAGTCTTAGAAGAGTACGAACAAATTGCAAGGCAGGAAGCACCAGTCAAATGTCTTTCAGAATAAATCACGAGATTTGAAATACTTAGCAGAGTGTGCTGACTTCACCTCTAGGAACCTGTGGCCATATTCCTAAAATCTCCTATAATAAACTCACCTTGTGAAAAATAGAATGATAATGAACTTTTAATCTCGATCACATATCCGTATTGGCTGCCGATACTGATTCCACAGGGGCACTGTGGACATAAGGAGCACTGTTTGACCATGAATCGAAAAGGAATTGCTCTTAAATTCTGACATCAAACCTTTACTTTTACTGTGGATGTTTTTGACAGCTTCAACATTTTTTACTAACAGACTTCATTGTAACTGTACTGCAAGTATGCAAGCACTTACTATGACCTAACATAGCCTACAAAAATCAGAAGAACAGTAGTCTGCCACAAACTGTATTCAGCTGAGTTCACTTTTGTTTTTTTGGGTGTGCTGTAGGGGTCACGAGTATGTGTGTTGATGTTCTTTAGGGGTGGGTGACTATGAAGATGTTCTCTTGAAGAGCATGGCCCTCTGTGCCCTACAACATAGACCCTCCCACCAAAAACACTCACTGACACACAATCACAAACACGCATCCCCTTGACTCCCGGAGGGTTTTGTACCTGTTAGCTTGCTGGAGTGGAACACATTGATTTTGAGAGAATATGGAGAGTGGAATGGACAGATGACAGGAGAGAGGTGGAAAAGATGTCAGAAAGTAAACCTGCCAGGCACTGTCTGTAGGAGAGCACAGTGGAAATCTTATCCAAACAGTCTGCTGTCAGATGCTATTCATCTGAGCCTTCAGACAGAAAGAGCAGGGGGGAACTCAGCCACAGGACATCATGTGATTGTACACTTCCTGAACTCCTGCCTCAGTCACTTTTTGGGCTACAGCGGCTTTAATAGTGTTGTCAAGTCTTGGAGATAGGTGCAGTGTGGAAAACACGGCTAAATAAAGAAGTGGACCAAATCTTGACGCTATCTGTTAATTTACCATTAATGCTAAGGGGTCACTGGCTCTATGCTAATATGCTCGGGGTGTTAGTGTCCATGTACTGAAGGTGTATCACAGTAACAGCACTCCGCCACTACCGATAATAACTACACCACTTACAGAACGCTTTCCATTTCAATAAATCTTGCCATGTCAGGTTTTTATGCAAATGTACAACATTATGGTTCAAGCTTTCTGACCTAAATGACAGCACTATTAAATCACATCACTATAAAACGGACAACATCTAAGTCCTCAGTATGTGATTCAATGTGAAAACCCACTATGCATGTGGATCTTACCATGTTTTTTCTCCTGCTGTATTCAGTAAGAACAAAGCATGGTAGTAAGTTACGTATATAATGATGATGATGTTGTTTATATACACTCCCCTCCAAAAGTATTGGAACATTGAGGCCAATTCCTTTCTTTTTGCTGTAGACTGAAAACATTTGGGGTTGACATCAAAAGATGAACAGAGACAGGAGATCAACATTTCACCTTTTATTTCCAGGTATATTTCATACTGTTGGAGGGGAGTGAAGCTATTTGTGGGATAGACATCTGTTCTTAGCATTCTTCAGAAACATAGCATATGCTAACAAATGGATCGATGTAGCAATGTGAGTTAGCAAACCTAGCAGCTCTGTGAGGCTGGTTTGAGCTAAATGCTAATGTCAGCGTGCCAACATGCCCACAATGACCATGTCAACATGCAAATTTTTAGCAAGTAATCTTTACTTTACTTTACTTTATCTTTATCTTTATCTTTACCTAGTTGAACATACTGGTATTTGCATGCTAGTTGGCTAACTAAACACAGCAGTGGCTGTGGCTCAGGTGTTGATCATAAACCAAAGTTTTGAATAAAAAGAAGATTTTGAACTGATGATGAAGCTGGCTAAAGACTTTAGTGACAATTATCCGTTCTCCCTGTGACATGAATGTATGTATCAAGCCACATCACTAGCATGGCTAAAAACATTTCTTTATTCTTTGAAATAACTGATGAACAGCTGATAACACCTTTTTTTAATTTGGTTATCTTATTAAGTTAAAACTCTGTGCCAGAAGGCTTTTTTTCTATTTTTAAACTCCACCATGACACAATCAAGTCCAGAGCCATTTATCATTTCCATGCTGTTTTATGGTCATTATCTGTAAAGTATCCACACTATTTATTATAAACCTACAGGCTGGTTGACTTGATTTTTATGTAGCTGACACAGACTTTTATTTTAATGTCTGAGAAAGTAAAATGCTGATATCAAAGTTAATTTAGGTCACGTATGCCGGAGGCCATGTTATTATAACAAAATCATTTCAAAGAAGTTTGAAGTTTTGAAGTTTGAACCCTGTGCTTAGCACAGGGTTCAAACTTCAAAGTTCAGAGTGGTCCTTTCTTTATTTCTCTCTGACTGACTCCTCTTGTCCCTCTCTGCTCAGTTACGTGTGAATATGACCGCGGGCAAAATCCGCTGCAGCAAGAGGGGAATCGTCCTGAGCCGAGCTGAGGACCGAGTGACGACTCATGATGGAGAAAGAGGCCTGTACCAGTACTTGAGCTCAGTCCAGGGTCTGGGAGGCTTTCAGGACCACTTTGACTGGTACACATAATAACATTCCTCAAGGCACTGTTAATGTGGGTTTTGTAGCCTCTATCCCTTCAGCCATCCATTTCCAAATCTTTTTGTGCCTTTTGTTTCTTGTCCAGGTGGGCTAGTAATACCTTCTCCATTCGTGGAGGGAAGCCATTGTGGGTCGACCCCTTTGACCAAAATGTTCAGCACATCTTCATAGACGACAACATACGCCAGAATGACGAGGATACCATAGTTCATCCCAAGGTACTGTCACATCTTTTAGGTCAACATAAACACACTAACTACTATTCCAATGATATGGATTGTAACTACATTGTAACTACAGGTTTCTTGTGCATCTTTTATCTTTTTGTAAGATACTGAGGCATTTTACATGTTAATTGTATGTATTAATAATTTTTATTGCCAATTTGTGAATGGGTTGTTGGTGTAACTTAAAAGAGACCTTCCCCGACTTTCTCGGTTGTCTGTAACAACCTGTGGACTGATCTCTATGTACAAGATTCAGATCAGGTTTTCTCAAAGTCGAAAGGTTGTAACGTATGTGTGCTCTCGAGGGCCTTCTGTCTTCGCTTCCGTACAGTGGCAACAGTGTGCAACACTAGCTAATGTTTACAAACTACCGGCACCCGCCACAACTTAGTCCAACACAAAGGAAAAAATGGCAAACATTCCTTGCTTGCTAGCTAACACGGATGAATTGCTAGCTAGCTAACGTCGCAAAACTCTGTCTTGAGTTGATATCGTCAGTTAGCTTTTTCCGGATTCCCGTGATCTGGCTGGCTCGCTGTTTGTAGGTTAATGCTGGATAACGTTATTCAGCATGGCTAGGTTACAGCTGGCTAACATTAGCTTGCTTACTAATGTCACTAAAATCACTAGCAAAATACTGAAGGGGATGATGAAGGAATGTTATTTGGCTAGCTTGCAAAATGACTTCACCAGCTAACATGATCCTAATACTAACTTATGTATTATGACAAATGGTGATTTTAGCCAACATTAAATTATTATTACGATATAACAGTACAAAGCAAGCGATTGCTTTCTACTAGCCAAGAGCGACATAAGGCAGTAACGTTATTAAAACTGTTCAGCGTTCAGTCTAGTGAGTGTCACTTTTGGCCAATGCCCGAATGATGCTAGCTTGCACCTACGGACGGTGTACTGAGCGTGAGCAACAGGATGCTCACTTTACTTAATGGCCACTAGTGTCATTATTAACAAAAACAAAGTTACATATAGAACCTTTAAGGTGGTTTATATATTGGACAGATAATATTTTCCTTTTCCTAATTTTCTCCACTGTGTAGATGATTCAGCTTTTGAGTCAGTTTAAGCCAGGATTTGAGATCTGGGTGTTGAAAAGATAAATATGCAAACATGCTATAGTGCCATGCAGTGAGTCTCCCACTCAGGAAGACTGTTGGCAGGAGATATTAGCAGCAAAGATGACATCTCAAATAGCCATAGATCAGGTCATGATCACTTGTTACAAACTGATAATTAAACTAGCAACTTGTTCTTTCAATAAGTGAACATTGTACATGCAAGGGTTTCTGATCCCCCGCCCGCCCTCTCTCTCTCTGCTCTATGAATTATTCATTAAGGTTCTTTGTTTTTGGAAAATGCTAACAGACAGTTGGATTTTTTTCTCGTGTTCTTCAGTGAACTACGAAGCAATCAGCTGCAGGAGTAAAACATTTTTGTGTCAATCATGTGAAGTTGTTTTCCACTTTAACAAGGTGTGGCTCTTCCTCACATAAACAGCTGACCATAGGGTTTCTCTCGTCTCCTTGCAGAGCAAACACATTCAGATGAAACAATGTTTATCAAGTTAGTTTTACTCCCTGCTGTTATGTACTAGACTTGCTTTAAAGAAGAAAATAAGTTACCTTTAGCATCTTTATATAAAGTTGATGTTTAACATGTCAGACCACCTCCTCCCAACATGCATTCAGTGTAATGCATGATCCAGTTTTGCTTATGTTCTCGACTGTGTGTGTGTATTTATCTCTTGACAGTGGGTTGTTTATGCTCTGGTCTCTAGATACGATTATGTTTTTTTGGGCTTTGTCAGAGACAGTAATAATGCAGTTATTCCCCATAATTTGAATCAGTCTGAATAAAGTAGCTCCACAGATGTGTTGGGGAGACTGTTGCTGGTTCACAGCTACTGAAAGCTAACATGACTCCCCCCACCCCTCTTTCCTCTGGTTTCTCCCTTTCCTCTGTGTGTCTCAGGTGTTCTTGGACCCAGGAAGCACTGAGACTCGTACAGCCTGCACCTCTGAGCTCTATGACATCACACTGGTCCAGAACGACCTCCTCCGGGCCATTTCTGACCCGAGCTACTTCACTCAGCGCATCCACATCTGCCTGGAAAACTATGACAGGAATCTCCAGCAGGGGGCAGGCTAGAGAAGTTCAACCTTCCCTCCTTGTATTTTGTGTTCGTCTTTATGTGACAACCTCAAGCTTAGGGTTCCATTAACCCAGAGACAAAAGCACTGACAGAGGATGCAGACACAGTAGACGTGGTAGGGACACCTACGCTGAGTTTGATGATTAACTGAAGGACTGGAGGTCATTAAACAACAAATGGAGGAAAGTCACATGAATAAATATGCAGATGAGGAAGGAACACAGTTATTATCTTAAGATCAAATAAACTAAGGACAAACTAAATGCAGTTGAGTAAGTTTGGCAGCTAGACAACAGGTCAAATAAATAATGCATACTTTATCTACTCCAGGACAGCAGCAAATAGATTGTCTGCTAGCGAACCGCCACATAAAGAGTTTTTGACCTAATTAAGCAGTAAAGTGGCCAGGCCAGACTCTTTGATTGCAGCAAAGGCTCTGTGACTAATCACACCACAGGATAATTGCCCTAACTCTCTAAGATTTGTCAGACAGCATAATTGGGGTCAGATACGGTGAAAACCCCCTCAAGTGTTGCGTTAGTTGTGTAGTGAGTAGAATCCACCAGGATTTTGCTCGGCTCTTCGTTCGTCATCCTCAGGGTGTGACACTTCCATGTAGCTTCGCCCTTTAGTTTACGGAAATGTACTTTAACTTCCATTGTTGGCTTTGTCTGCATTGTTTACATCCACCCAGAACTCAAAGGTGATACTTGAATCTTTCCAGATGACTGAAAAAGAATCTGATATATGAGTATGGCTGTGTAACTTTAGGCTGATACCTCAGAGCGCACTGTAAACACATTAGGAAGGCAAAGTAATCAGAAAGTGACTTTAAATACTTTTTAATGTGACTATATTGCTAGTAAGAATTTCAAAAGCCACAATATTACATTCATTAAAAATTTCCTGATATTAACAGGTAAGAGTAATCCATATCCATGATACATCTGTCAGGGCTTTATTATAGATTTATTATACAAAGTAATATCTTGAAGCACTGAGACATATCATAAGGTTTAACATGGCTTTGGGATGCGTTTGCACAGAATTGTTTACTACTTGTTACTACTGTTTTTACTATTTGAAACATTTATTTAATAAGTTAAATGTGTGGAAACAATGGTAGTTTTTGCTTTGATGGTTTGATATATTTATTGTTAAGCTTCCGTGGAGATTTTTAATGCAAATGGTATCAATAATCTAAAGAAAAATACTTAAATGCGGGTTTCTGAGAACCACTGGGAACAACGGCAGTAATTTTTTTTCAGTAATAATGAACATGCAAAGAGTACAATGAAAAGTGCAAAGACTAAGGTGGGATGGAAAGCTTTGTTGGTGGAGTTTCAATTTGCAAAACCCTTAAAGAACCAGTGTGTAGGAGTTAGATGCATCTAGTGGTGAAGCTACAGATTGCAACTAACTGAACACCGCTCGCATCTCTATTTGATGACCCGGGAATTAGAACGGGCTGTGAAGTCTTAGGAGAAATAACGGTGGCAGTGAAACTAGTGAAAAATGCCAAAAGCCCCAACCTATCTAGAGCATGGTGGTTCAACATGGCGGCCTCCATAGAAGAGGACCCGCTCCCTCTATAGATAAAAACAGCTCAAAAACACAACAGTTGTTGTGATTACACATTAATGAAAACATACCTATGAATATGAATTTCCATTTATGACAATAGATCCTCCTAAATGTTACACACTGGACCTTCAACACAAAATGCTCTACTCCATCATGCACAGGTTTATAATAGCATCACAGCATTGTATAAGTTTATCAGTGAATTTTAATCATTGCTGCATTTTAAAGTAAAACTATCATGATATAATGCTGTCAAACTTTGGAGAAGATTATACATATAGTAAACAATATGCAATTTATAGTAATTGAAATTGAAATGATAGATGATAGAGTAAGCTTTACTGTAATTTTATTTTTTGTATGTTATACTACAGTAAATATAAACTGTACATACAGTACATTCTACATTCATACAAGGCAAAATGATGATTACTTCACTAAATCAGTTAAATTTTCCTGTTCTGCGACCACAGAGTTTGTTACATATTGTTTAAGACACAAAATCTTAGATATTTTAATTACTTAGTATAAGTTTGTGCATCTAAAATACAGAAAACTACAGTAATACTGTATTTCTGAAAAGAAAGGACAGATGCTTACAAACACGTTACATTGATTCAATAATCTGTAGGTTTGGTACAAAGTACCAAAACTAATAATGACTCAGCTAGTTATATTGGACTTTGTATGGAAGAACAGCATTTTGTGGTGAGGTAAAGTTTTGCACACTGAAACTGATGCTGTCGTGCATTGAACACACTTGAAAAACATTTTAATAAATTTTTTCTGATGTTAAATATTGCCATTCAATGTTAGTGTTTGGCGTTTTGCATAATGACAATTTACTGTAGGCACATAACATAAGTTAATCATGATTATTGGTATGTTAGAGACACAATTTCAATTGATTTGACCCTTTGCTGCTGTGATACCGTAAAGAATGTCAGAATGTGATCAATGAGGGGACACTGTTAAGGAGCCAACACGTGGCTTTATTAAAGATTTTTGATACAGCTCATTTATAAATCATTAATAGGTTATTGATAAATAGCTGTGTGTGTGACCAGGTCAGGTCCACTGGGGATTAATTAAAGAAAGTATGAAGTGTTAAGGCCAAAGGGTGGTAAGTACATTCATTTGTCTGCTTTGGTGTGTTGTAATGAACATTAAAAATGTCTGTAATACTTCTCTTCATTCTGTTTCAAAGCAAATATTCTTATCTTCTATACAACCATATTTATCAGCACCCCTGCAGCTACCTGGAGTTACTTCAAGTGGAAATAATGAGTGGAAGCAGAAGACCAAATGATAAGGGAGGTGCTTGTGAGATAAAATGTTTCCTGTCTTTCTAGTTTGCCATGGGATTAAAATGCAACGCTTGGCTTGAAATGTTTGAAGTGAGGTTTCATAAGGTAATTCTACTCTCCTGAAACATTTGTGTAATTGGCTGCGTCATTATGGCAGAGGTCAGACACATTAATGTGACAAGTCATGTCTGAAGTTTGTCCCAGGCTGATTGTGATAGATGATAGTGCTGCTGCTGGCAACTGACTGAACATTTGATGACAAAGCAGATGGTGCAGCAGTGTCATTCAATATGACTACAATGGGAACTAGAATATAGAACAGCTTTTTTTTGTGTGTAATATAAAAGTGCACATTTTAATGTTTCATCTTTTCCTGTAGTCTCTTCTGTTCTGGTTTAGTTCTGTTATGTTCTACTTTGATCTGTCAGTGTTTAGTATTTATAGCAATCCCAGAGTTGCATAAAGAAACTCATAATAGCGTAAGTACAGGTATTGGTGTTTTCATTTTACATCACTTATCGCTTATTTGCTTTTCCAATTAGAGTTACTGTTCTGCTCTCCCTCTTCTTTGCTAGCATTGATTTCCCCAGCCTGACCAACTGTGGCTTCTAATAGTTCTGGGCTGCAGAAGAGTCTCATTCTCTCAGAATCTAGACTCAGGTTAGTTGTATCTCTGTTTCTGACCTACTTTATCAGAGTTTACTGACGTTAAGTCCTGCAACGAGTCGATACCAGAGTCCACCAGAACTTCCTTCCTGTGGTGTGCCAGCTAGCTACCTGTTAATGTTAGCTCGGCTGTAGCTTTACCATTTTACTAAATTTCCAGCTACATTAAGGTTTAAAACAACATCACCTTTCAACCTGTTTCTTACTCAGTAACTATCAGTAACTGCGATTCAGCTATTTTCTTCTTGTTTACTCATTCAAAATAAGACTGGACCAACCTGGTAACTCCGGAGCAGAGTTAAGAATATTACAGGCAAATAAGTGTATCTCCTTCTTCTTCCCACATGTTCTTTAAGTGTGAATCATAGCATATTTTATCCCTCTAGACTAGTGAGTGAGTAACTGTTAGGCATGTAATCATTGTGAATCGACCACAGAGAGCCAATTTTGAACATTTCTTTTATTGTTTACCATTCGTTTCTATCATGTAGATGGAAATGAGGTTTTTTATCTTACAAAGTAAGAGACTCGACAATCCAAAGGGCAGCGCACAAAGACTCCAAGCACTGAGTGTTCAATAGACTTTTTCTCGGCAGACATTTTGACGTGCCGTAGCAGGAAAATTACAGGTGACATTAAAGATTCCAGTGAGCCAGCCGTTCAGACATCATTCATTTTGTTAAATAAACCCAATTTTTGCTTCTATGAAATGACTAAATGTCTGCCATGAATAGGCCCATTACCTCTGAGCAAGTGCAGCTGACCTAACTCCCTGATACTGCCTCTCAGAGTCAGTGAAGTAGTCTCGCATAGCCAGACCAGCACTTTCAGCACTGTGCCACTAGTGAAGAAACAACCCCTCTTGACACCTGCCACCTCAAATCTACATCCAAAAAATGACCCTAAGTACAGTAAATTTGCTAGTGTACTAATGAGTACCAGCCATGGCCTTATATAGTTAAAGGTGTAAAGCTTAAGCAACATTATGCAACTATTTTACCTTAAGACAATAATTGTATATCATAAATTACAAAAATAAATAGGAGGAGGAGGTTTGCAGACCTGCAGTGAGGAATGTTAGCAGGGAGCGACACCAGATCCGCAGTCGGGCGAACAGGCAACGGGGCCGGGCTCAGCCGCAGGTAAGGACATCATTGCAGAGGCAGAGAGCGAAGAGAACATTGGGCTGTTGTGTGGCGAGAGCCTCATGAAATAAAAGGGTGCAGATGGGCGCTGGCCTTCTTGCTGTTGGTAAGTAATAAAAGACAGGAGGATAAATTCTATAAAATATGGTTAGCCAGCCTTTATAGATCTATAGATCACTTAATCAAACCAGGAACAACATATTATATTATTACTATCATCTTTACTGAATTCATATATACTTCTGCCTGAGCCTGAGGACAGAATACCGTGTAATGAAGTATTTATTAGCATGTATTTCATTCATTTCTGTTTTCTTTTGCTATTTGTTAAAATCCTGTGTATACAATACTTTCTGCATTGTTTCACACGTAGAGATGTGATGTGAGGTGTGTTTTATGTGATCTACATTTTTGAAATACAATAAAAAAACACTAAGACTGGAATTAAACTGCAATGTAAAGGCGTTAAGCTGTAGGCTGACTGTGAACATGTTTCTTGTGGTTTGTATTGGGGATCGGGAGTTCCCTCAATCCACATGAGGGCAGCAGTGCAGCTTTTGGAAGCCCCTCACCTTTAGAGGCAGCAGCCTTCCCTGCAGGTGAGTCTGGAGTTACCTGGTGACACTGGTGGAAAGCCTGAACCCGGGGGCTCCGGCAGCACGGAGGCACCACTGGGTGCATTTAAATGTTGATGTTAAAGGCTGAGGAGTCGGAAGTTGTCAGTTCCCGGCGGTGGACGGACGGCTGGCACTGAGAACGCAAGAGTTTGCGGTGTTTAATGGATTGCGTTAATGCGCCCTGGTGAGTGAGGGGAGGAGACGCGAGGAGGAGAGGGGCGGGAAGAGGAGGCAGGAGGGGGAGAGATGTTGAGTCAGTGTTAGGACGATGGTAAGGGTTGGTGTGGCTGGGTGGTGTCAGTGAGCAGGTTCACAGCAGGAGCGATATCTCCTCCGCGGTCCGCTGCTGCTGACGTGTTGTGTTCAGATGTTTACGCGCAGCTGATCCGGCGAGCTCCGACGCACCGTTGACCTCCTGCAGTCCACCCACCGGACAGGAAGGTAAGGACTGTTGTCATCAAACTTTCTTCCTCTCTGCGTTTCAGTCAGACGGCCAAATGACGCACGGGCGCTGAAGCTGGTTATCGCGCCGTGCTGTCGCGCCTCAGCTCCGCGCACATGTGCTCTGTTGGGCGAGATGCTCTCGCTGCTGTTGGGCGCTGCGGAGCTACTAATGGGCATCGAATCGGTATGAACAGGTCTGGATACTCAGTGTAGACTACCTAAGTTTAATAATTCAGTTCTAGCGATAAAATGGTGCCAGAGGATCAAGTGCAATATCGCCAGAAATCTGTTTGGATGCCACATCCAAAATAAAGCCATCAGAGGTCAGCACTGCAGGACTCTTCATGTGGTGGATTTGGATGTCAGTCATCAGTTATTATGTAGTCGACACGATGAGCTTTTGCAAGCAGGATACAGTAAAGTGATGCCCCAGTGTTGTGTCATTGGAGTTGGAGCAAAGCTTTCTCTGCGTGACTTTAGGTGCAGATTTGGGGATTTAGGCAAGAGCTGGAGGCAAATCCATCCAGCTGTTTAGTGAGATGCTCTTTTCCAGGGAAGTCTGTGCTATCTGCTGCCCAACATCTGGTTGCGGCTGTCAGTCACTGGCTGACAGAGTCTGTCCTCTCTCTTTAGAGCAGCCTCAACTTTCTGCTCTCTTCTTTTTTGAGTGTGTCTTCAGGCAGAGAGGGTTCCTCCTCCCCCTGGGAATGATGGGATTGCTGCTCTCACACACCCTGCTGCTTCTCTCTCTCCATCCTCACTCTCTTCTAAGAGCAGCATCCTACACTTTAAAGCTCTCCCTGTCTGGTCTGCTGAAAGAGGCTGTTTGTCCCTCGAACAGATTCCATCGCTCTTCACTCCTTCTCTCTGTGTCCGTGCTACTTTTCCCATCTGACCTGCAATGATAGCTCCTAACTCGGTGTGAGTTCATTTGCATAATGAGGATTACAGCTGACATGCAGCGTCTGGGCCTGTCTAGCTGGATCCAGCAGAGAAGCGTAGTGCTGTGGCAGCTCTCATTGTGCCAGCAAAATGCCACCCTCAATCAGCACTCACCAGGAAGGCTGCGGTCCGCTCTGACAGACCGGCTTCTGCCACTTTGCCATCATCAGTGCAGAGGGATTGAGGGACAAATGGACTGAGTATGAAATTGTTCATGTATGAAATGAGCTATTGACATTGTGGTTGGCACAATGGTTTGTTCGATAGAAATTGATAAATAAAAATGCAGGAATCATGCTGATTTAGTTTGATCCATTAATAGTTTTAATTAGTGTCAGTTCTGTCTGGAAGAGAGAAGACATTTCTTGTTAGTATTTGTTTCATTTTTTAAAATCTTGCATTTGACTTCTGCTGCCTAAGAATTGAGTCGCCCACTACAGCCAAATTTATTCTAAAGTTCAAACCACGGGTCAGAGCCCACAAGAGGACACGCTGTCCCGGAGCTAGTCGGTCTCCACGACAAAAACAGCTATTTATTTTTGATGAAGCTGTTTCCCAGGGCTAATAACTACATTCCACATCTGTTCTGCCTGTTTTCTTGGCTTCTTATTTAATCCAGCATTTCTCTCTTATACCATCATTATCTGGTCATTTCATGATGATAGACCGAAGGCTTTAAACAACCTGTTTTTTGTTGCTTGTGAATGTTTGTGATCTAGTAATTGAAGCTTTGTCCTCCTGTTGAACTCGCTGTAATTTGTGCTCGGTAAAAGCATCACCTGAGAACAGTTAATGGCAGCCTATGGCCTCGATTGTCAACCAAGCATAACCACACCATGTGCACACGCACCTCTATACAGAGTCTGATTTGTCGTTTTCATTTTCTGCTTAAAAGTGTGCATTCACAACCACTTCTGACCAGACATACCAACAAGCCCTTATTGGTACACAGGTGTGACCACAGGTAAACTGATTCCTAAATTACAGATACATGTTACCACTCTACTGTCAACCACATAGGTATAACTAATAGATTGTCAGTGGTAGTTCTTGAAGACTCGCATTTCTTGTTATTTGGAAAATGAGGTAATCATTTCTCTCTGGTGAAATTATGCCATTAAAGTCTCTGTTTCATCTTGTTTCTCTGGTTCTGTATCACTGAGCTCTTGTGGCCCCATATAGAGTCAGAGAAGCCGCTAATCTAAGCTTCCTAATTGATAGTGTTAGGTTTTGGTATGATTGATTTCAGTAGATTAACTAAGCCATGCATGTTTTCTGTTATGCTCAAACTGTTAAGAACCAGTAATTACCAATTAAATTAGGAATGGTATCAAGAACTGCTGAACCGGTGCCTGACTGCCCAGTACCGAAATATTGATAATCTCCTGGACAAACAATACTGTAGCAGTAGTTATGTAATGTATTCCACTCCACACTGTCTTTGGTTGGCTTAAGTTAAAAGTTCGAGCGAAGATACTGGTATCATACATTGCGTGCTATCATGTGGGTTGAAGGGAATGCTCCAAAGTTAGGCTTTTGTGATAGAAAAACTGGCATGGCCCTTTTGAAAGGGATCCCTTGACCTCTGACCATAAGATATCTGAATGAAAATGGGCTCTCACAGTATCCACAAATCTCCCCTTTACAGACATGCCCACCTAATGCTAATCCCATGCTGTTTAGTGCAGTTTGCATGTGTTATTTTCGCCTAATGTATTTGAATATTTCTAGAGACTGTGGTCCATAAACAGTATTGGAATTGCATTAATTAGGAATGACTAATTCCCCCACCAGTGAAAAAAGTAAAGTGGAGAAAACGTGGTGAAGTGCCCTCTGGGGGGATGCTTCTGCATATTGGTGCCCTCTTTATTGTTTTGGCCCTCAAACAGCTGGAGTCCGCCACTGTGACCAGTTGTGCACATCACACACGCACGCACAGTGTAAACACATTCACTGGTAATAACTAATTGTATGAAAACAAATGACTTGTGGAAATAGAGTGAATGTTGTAGAGCACATTGTAAAATATGAGACGTATGTTCATAAATCTGTTGTCTTGGTGCATGCTGGGAAGCTTCCTTGCCCATCTGGTTCTGGAATGTTTAAGTATCTCTAAACTATTGTCTGTGATGGTTTCAGGGTTTATCTTTCTCAGTTGCTACTTTTGTTCATAATGACTTTCAGAGAGTTCTGACAGACCGTATATGGGGTTCTGGATGTGAATTAATCTGTATGTGCTCAAGTAGATGGATGTAGAGTAGTAGAATTTATCATTGTTCATTGTGTAAAAGTGTGAGTATGAGTGTTTATAAATATAAGTTTTATAGAAAGTTCCTACACACACATTTAAAGCTTGTTCTACACATGCTTTGATAAACGAGGCCCCAGGACTCTGCAGGACAGGGTTGGTGTATGAGCGTACAGCACAGAATGTCTTTAAATGTGATTAAGGTGGTTTGTGTGGGACAGATATGGCCACAACGCACACGCACACACGCACACACACACACACACACCAGCCAGCAACAGACATTAACCCTGGTGGATGAGTGTGGAACTGAGCCAATATTCCCATCACAGGATTAAGTGAGATGGTTACAGTGGACAGTTTGGACATCCAGCCTGCCAACACAGGGGACATTGAGGCCTGGATAAGATGTCTGAGGGAGGAAAAGATAGAGAATTGGAGAGAGGGATAAAATGGGTTGTGCGTGTAGAGAAAATAACTATTAAGCAGCTCAAGTGAATTTAGTCAGTGTTTTAAAAGGAATAGTTTAACATTTTGGAAAACGTGAATTCATCGAGACACTCTGATTTTGCTAGCTTAGCTTAGCAAAAACACAACAGGCAGGGGGAAACAGCTAGCACTAGCTTCCTCCAAAGGTCCAAAAGTCCACCTCCTAAAGCCCACACATTATTTCTCATTAGTTATTTGTGTATATGTGTCTATTTTAACATTTCTTTGAATGAAAAATCATAATGCGATATTAACCCAGTCACTCTGCTCACTAAGCCAATAGAAAGAACTTAGTTAGCATTTTGGCATTCTGGTTCCCTCGTCACTGGGTTTTTGGTTAGATGCCTGAAATAATTTATCCGAATACTTTGCAATAATCTGAATCCAATGGAAAAATCCTATTGGCTTTTTGTTGAAGGAACAAGGGCAATGCTTTTTTTCGAGGTTGGCATACAAAAATACATCAGCAATCTGCAGAGGTCAGTCCAAGTCCCCAGGAAGAGTGCCAGGCTTTAAAGCTAATTTGAGATAGTGGCCAAACTGTGTAATGACAGCAATGGTCCAATTCTAAAGAAAAAGTATATTTCAGCACACACTGGTGCTGGTTAGCCTGCTAGCGGCAGGGCTACTCAGTCATGTGACCCTGTCCTTGCAGGTTGTTGCAGTCGGTCTCCCCACGGCGCCCAGTCAAGAATTAGTCTTTCACATTACCCCCTAGTGAAATTACAACTGGTCGTTTTTACACTTCAGTTTTGTACAGATTAAACAAACAAGACATAACATGTTAATTAGTAAGCTTTAGAGGTGCTGGTAGTCAAATTGTGTTGCCTTTGGACCGAGCTGTTTCCCCAAGTCCACTGATTTTCATATTATGGTATGAGTACCACTAGTGGTTTACAAGCTTCCTGCAGGTATGCGGAGGAATCTGCTACATAGTCTGGTTCGTGCAAGTAGCACACTCATACATCCAGGATTAGTTCTGAGCTAAACTGTGATGGCAAGATAGTAAGCGGAAGTAAAATAAATGGTTCAAAGACACTGCAGTCAGCTCCAAACGGGAACTATTAGGAAGAGCTGAATAGGGTCGGCCTACGCTACTGTATTTTGATGGCGGTCATAATGGTGGTCCATTCACTTGGAGAGCTGAATATTTTCTGTGGTTTTACGCGGTGCAAAACGTTTGAGAAACAGTGTCCTATGGTGGACAGTGTCTTTATGCTAAGCTAAGCGGCTAATGGCTGTAGGTTAATATGTCGTGTACAGATAAGAAAGTGGTGTCAGTCTTCTCATCTGAGTGAATAAGTGTATTTCCCAAAAC